GTGAATACATTTTTATAAAAGCATAGGGCTGAGTAGAGTTTAAGACAGTTTGTAACTATACGAGTGAACAACAAAATCTGACAATCGCGAAGCTGAGAGATGTTAATCACAAACAGAATTGTTCGAAACAGTTTCTTGTTACCAATTCATGAAGACTATCACATGCTCATCAGTTACATTCATGCAAAACTGACAATTTAACAATGTACCGTATTTGCATGAACTTGACGCTTACGAATGAGGCAAAATATGCTAAACATGATGTGTAAACTGCCCTTTTTACACATTTGTGATGACGTGCAAACTGACCTATCGCTGTTTGTGCTCGAGTCAGCATGCTGATGATCAAACCACCTTCTCAAATTTGTTATAGTTTACACACAGAATGCGAGGACACAAATCCGTCAGCAGTTAGCTTAACTCGACCAAATATGAAACAAAGGATGAACATCATGGAAAAATCAACGGTTACTTGAAAGGGTAATTTAGTATTATCAAATTGAGTTGATAACTGACTGTAAATATATGCATATAAACCCACTTACAACCCACAATTCCTCCAATCGCTCTGACTAGGGTCTAACGCTCGAAACGTCAGCTTTTCATCTCTTTACGTGTACGGTGGCCAATTGAGTTGATAACGTAAGGATTAAGAGTGCCGAGTCGGGATGCCCACGGATCTCCACGATATCAACGAGCGCTTTTCATTCAACTAATTTATTCTTTTAGAATAAGAGAGTTGGTAAATTTTGAGCTCGGTAAAGGTATAGAGAAATATATTTTTCGTCTTGTCACGAGCGTGGGATAAAGAAAACATTCTGAGTCCCCATGAGGAATCGAACCTCAGAACTTCGGATTCCGCGTTCCGATGCTCTACCACTGAGCCACAGAGAGTTTGCGGTGAGCGAGGTCTATTGCTAAGTTCATATCGACTGCTAGGATCAGCAATGTCGATAGTGTCATGTTTTAGAATAAGAAAAGCTGCTCCTAGCAGTATGCACGACGCATGTTATATGAACTTCGCAATAGACCTCGCTCACCGTAGAGTCTCTGTGGCTCAGTGGGGACTCAGAATTTTTTCTTTGTCCCACGCTCGTGACAAGAAGGAAAACATATTTCTCTAATTTATTCTTGTTCTCTCCTCACCATATTCCCACCAATAGCGTAGCTCCATTTCTGCATATTAACCCACACACAAAAATGCAACCCACAATTCCTCCAATGTGTCTGGCAAAGGACTAACGCTCGAAACGTCAGCTTTTAAACTCTTTACAGTGGCCAATTTAGGTTATCAACTCAGTTGTTCATATTTAATTACCGTCATAATCTACCTACTTGAAAGATCTGGCTACAGTTGTTCGAGGGTTGGATAACGAGATCCCGCAGTGTATAAATCTCTACCCGGTGGATGGTGCAGTACGTTTTGCTATCACTTTTCCGCTGGAAAGCAATTTATCAGTTGCATATTGTTATCTGCCCTTTTAAACCTAGACCCTAAACGTTGACAATTCTGATTTTTTTCTTCAAATTCCCTCAGACTCTCTCTAATGGTTGGGGTTCAACGAAATATGCTTATAAACTAGAGCACTGGCTGAGCCCCCAATAAGAAGGACGAAAGCAAAGCCTCTCTGACTTTAATTTGAAGAAAAAAAAGCCGAAGAATGACAATTACTGTCGGCTCATTCCCGAAAATAGATTCACATGATGATTTGGCGAGGTGTTATCGTTGCCCGTGACAAAATCTTGCCCGCTCTAAGAACCAAGTAGATTGAAGGATTTATTGCCGTACGCGTGCTCAATTGGAAAAACATATTGCTGGTGTATTTAGCCTCTCTGTATGTATTTTATGTTCCTTTTTGGTCAAAAAGCTAAATTCAATGATAATTGATCGCCTCGGCGCTGACTCAATGCTCGGTAAACACGTAAGCTGTAATTTACCATGCTTGTTTTGACACACAGAGTTATGCTTCACCAGCTTCATTGGATAATATTGCTCTCCTCTTTAGATTGGTAACAATACGCAAATGGAAATAATGCTAACTTCACTTCTCCTTTGCGTTGTGACTCAAATCAGATCGTCAGGTGCTTTTTAAGGAATAGTTGCTCCAGGAATACCATTCTATCAGTTCCTCAAGGGTTTAAGTTGAAGGAAAACAAATTAGACTTCTAACCATCAGCGTGACAGACAATACTAATTTTCGTGGTCAATCATCAACTACTCGCAGTCGTCTACTGCCGACGTTTTGAGGTATGCCTTTTAGATATCTTTTTGAACCAGGAGGGAGGGGTGACTCCGTTATTCTCTTGGATGCGCCGCCGTCGAGACATTGTATGACGTCACATAGCAACAATAAGAGCGCTTCGCAAAGTTTGCTCAGTCTAGCGTGACAAAGTAGCTAACAAAGACAAGGCCATCACAGGTTCCTAGTGGGTAATTAACTAATTTGCCGTGAGTGTGAAAGCTTTGTTGTTTACATTGTTGAGAGTTGAACTGTGTATTCTCTTGTGGAAGTTTTTGTTTGTAATTTCACTAAATAGTATCAGCCTAGGATCTCATACGAATTATTTAAATTCCGAAAATGCGCAGAGGTGGTCTTTTTGAACGGAGCCACAAGACTTCTCTTCTCCTTTTAGATTTTTACTCAGGCTTTGGCTTAAACGTTGTCTGTTTTACCGTTTATACTAAGGGCACAAACGTCACCTTGCTCACGCCTACAACCCCATCAGTAACCAATTTTAGTTCAGAACCTGCTTCAAAGACCATCCATGAAAGCTCTACTAAAGCGTATGCGTTAAGGCCACAAGATCCTTCTCCATCCAATTCCCTCACCACGTACACAATGGAGCACAACGCTCCTCTCTCCACCTTTACGAAAGCCCGACAATGGTAAACAGGTATGTTCATCAGTGAATGAAGCATGTATCCTAGAAACACCCAAGGGTCATGTTGCACACCCCACGATCACGAACAGCCTTTAGGTACACATACACATTTGCCAGATGAAGCCCATTTAAGGATTCATGACATTCTGTATCAAGTCCTCGAGGAAATTTATGCGCCTAATGTTTGGGAGAGTCGAGTGCATCTCTAAGGCAATTCACCCTCTAATTGAATCAGAGCGTGATTACTTGTTTCAAAGTGGAGAAATGTGTGAGAAGCTAGGAAAAGTTACGGCCCACTGTAGAGCGTTATTTAAAGGATGAAAATGAGAAATAGCCAGCCAATTTAGGAGGACATGGGCTATCGAACATTGAACCTGAGAAAAAACAGAAAGATGTGAAATATTTGTTTTATCGCTGAAAACCAAAACCACGAGTTAATGATCTCTCTTGCAATCTGTTCTTAGTAGACCTTCGTAATGTATCATAACGAAAGTCAAGTCGGGTACAAGTAGATCAGTATTTTGACTTAATTAGCATTATGTTAGTCGTTTTCGATGTGTTTAGTGGTTTCATTTCGGAATAAGATTATTTGATACCAGAAACCCTGTCGGCTAATTTTTTGACTGGTGTTCTCAGTTTGGAAGACAAGGAAAAAGTTGCAGCAACTGTTCTAGAGAACAAAAATGCAGTTCTTGCGATGGAGCATAAGAAAGGAATGAACGACCGCTGTCTTTTTTGACCATAGAAAAACATACTTGCTGGTCTTCATCCCAATTCCTTTCACTTTGTCCCTTTCCTCAATGGAAAGCGAATCCTTTAACACGCCGCCGTAATGTTCTGAAAGTAATTAATGCCGTGACGATTGATCTGCGCATAGTTAGACGATTATTTCACATACATTTGAATTAAGAGCTCAATAGCACATGACGTAATGAAGAACTTCACCACAAAATCCACAAAGTCACTTTAAATCTACTTAAAAAAATCTTTTACTACATTTTTGTACTCTCACAGGTATCAAAATACAAAGCTAAAAATATCAGAAACTGCTTTGTCCATCCTCGCCAAGTAACATCACCTCCTGTGATAAAATACAAAATAAAACGATTAAAAAACAAACAAGAAAAGAGAAAACGCATTAAAAAAAGTTTTTTTAAAATTCAGTGATATGGCGATCGAAAGAAACAATATGTCTCAATATTTTCAATCGCCTAAGAGTTGCAGAAGATGTTGGTTTTCTATAACGACGATCGTAACGAGGTATATTTTTTCGTCGCTGATCCCGTATTTTTACGCAAATTTTTAATCCCTGATCCCAAAAGTGATGAAAATTTTGATCCCTGATCCCACAAAATTTTGTTGATCCCAGTGTATTTTCTATCCATAACTTTGTCTGGTAATCATTTTTTACCAATTCGCCAATGCGACACTAGACTAAAATAAAAATGAGCTACTTCACATTTCTTTCACTATACTATGATGGTCCAAAGTATTAGAGTCCTACCTGAATTAACTCGGTTCCCACTTCTTTTGTTCGTTTTTATCATTGTAGAATATTACCTTTGGCAATCATCGTTGAAGGATCCGTCACTTCGTTGACACGTGTTAACAATCTTGATTTTTCTCAAATTTAACTATCAGTTGAATTTCACTTAATTCAAAACACACTAACTAGTGCAATACTATACAAATTCTAAACGTTTTATACGGGAAACACGAGGAAACAAATTTTTCCTAAAAATCTGATAACTTTCGAATCTATCCGCTTGAAAAAGCAGACTGCTTGAAATTGACGTTGATATTAGCCTCATAAACTTTAATAAACTTTCTGTAACCAAAATTAGAATAAAACGTATTTATCGCAGCGACCTTCCTCGACATTCGTTTGAAAAAGAAAAACCGTTTGGTGATGCTATAAACTTTAAAATTTCATGAGCATGCGACCTAGTCAGTTTATGATACAAGTTTTTGTTATCATCTATTTGCAGTATCTGTGCTATTTGTTAATCCGTTTTCTAGACATCTGAAAAAAATCTATTGAAAAATATCTATCGAGAAAATGTACAACGTGTGTGAAAATTTGACTCCGGAATGGCCCTGGAATTGTTCTGAGCTTGTTAAAGCACAAATCGTGTCACCCTCCTGCCAGATCTACTGCGTCCAGCTTCGAAACGAGTCGGTTGGTCATCATCGTCTTCACTTTTGTCGCCATCACTGTCGTCCTCACTACTGCTATCATAATCAGCCTCGTCAGAGCCGTTAGCCAAGTTTTTTAGGCGTTGCTCCTCGTTTCGGCATAGAATGAATTTCTCACCATCCTGAACCACCGTTACAATATCTAAAATACACTGAGGTGGGTTGTTGTTGTCTTCATTGCCTACAGTGTATAATAGTGCATCTTCCTCTGACGGCTCAAGCCAGTTAATACGCATGGTACGCTCAAGGATGCCACCATTACTGCAATGAAGGTCCTCTTGAAGAATAGCAAGGAAAAAGGGCTCCAAATAACGTTTCCAGTTGTGTTTTAGGGCGACTACATCTCCCTTTGAAAAACGAACTGGACGAGTTTCAATCTGTGCTGTTTCAGGTTGTCCTGCGTCTAAGGCTTGAAGCTCTTCAAGTATGTCAAAAACAGTTTGAGTTTGGTTTGTTTGAACTCTTCGGATCATGCTTAGAGATAGAGGGAGAGTTCCAGCCTTTTCTTTCGTTTTGTCTCTTACTCTATGCTGCCGTACGCCTTGCCCAAATTCTTTAGCAAACAGCCTAAGTTTCCTTGATTCTTCACGCAAAACATCCCTCTCCTTAACACTATCTTCTTGCCTAAAATGTTCTTCGCTAAGCTTTGCACGATCATAAAGCCACTCAGGCTCCCTCTTGTTTATTGTTCGTGCGGTGTAGTGGCTTTGGGGTCCCGTATACACTGAAAAGGAAGAGTGATACACCTTCTGTACGGATTCAACAATACAGCTTGGTCTGCGGTTGCCGTAATCATGCATGTCTGGCGTTGGACGACTTGGGGTTCTCATTCCCGCAAAGAAATGTTCCACATGTAGTGTCGTGAAACTTGGAAAGCATATATCCTTTGCAATATGCTGCAAATCGTTTTCAGAGAAGAACGAATTCGTTTTCTCAAATGACGATTGAAGCATTTTAAAAGCGTCCCTCGTAGGTTTTGACAATGCTAGATCAGGACCCTGGGGACATCTTCGACCTGTTCGAAAATACGCCTGCCTCTCTACGTCTTTCATGAAATCCGCCGCTTCTTTGAGAATAATCAACCCGTCTTCCAAACTTGGTTGGAAACTTGGCTTCCTTGATAGTTCTTCTTCAAGTTGGAAGAGTTCAATAAATAGCCCCAATTTTTCTCCGAGATGTTTATAGCTTTTTAAGCTTGAAATTAGTCTGACAGCTTGATTGCTGGTGTCACAGACAAATATAGATTCTCCATATGACACAAGCGCTGATGGCGAGTGAAACCTAACTGTAAAGCCGTCTTGCATCCCCGGCTGGCTTCCTCCCAGTGAGTGAATTACCTTGCCATCAATAAAAAAGTTCACTGAATGGTCATGAGAATTAGAGAAGACGAGCTTTTGTGCTGTTTTAGTAATGCCAAGAATAACTGACGGGTCCTTTTTAACAACACTGGTTAGTTCGACAGAGGCCTCTTCACGAGAAAGACATTCAATTCCTTGGTTGTGCATCGAGATCAGGAGCCCTTCCGGAGCGTCATAAATGCAAAGTGGTTAACTGTCACAAGACACTGATATAACACACTTTTCACAGTTGCCTATGCCAGTCTTTAAGCCATACAGCTTGTTTCTGAAAAAGGATGTTGCATAATATACAAATTGTCGCCGTCGTTTTTCGCAGTGTACGTAACTATCGCTGTAGCTTTTTTTTTTCTACAAGACCCTGTTTTCACACTGGGTTGTAACCGGACCTCAATGAAGCTCAGCGGGAGAAAAAAATTGATGAAGATGAATGTGAATGGAGTTAAGGGGATCAGGGGTCATGCTCCCCTGGAAAATTTTGAAAGTCCGAGCTCTCAAAAAAATTTCATTTCCTGCATTCTGAGTTAGCCTCCTCTGCAGGCATCTCACAAACAACATCAAAAACACAGAGGCCGCTTTCGGTGGACTAGGAACGAGTTCAGCAAGGCCAATATCCCATCCCCGGGCCGACCTTCGGCAAAGCTCCACCGTGGGGAAGGGGACGTGAAAAAATGTCCAACAACTACCCGGGGGGATGCGCAGGCTTGGAGTTGGAAGGCCTTGTTGTTATGTGAATTGCTTCTTGAACCCTGTGTGCGTACCAGTTCTAGTCTTGATTAACTCGTTCCTAATACCGAGTTAGCTCGTCTGAGCAGTGTAGATAACAAAATCGTACTTCGTACACTAGATTTTAATTGAACACCAATGAACTCAAAAGACTTGGTCAGGGTGTGGTGTTGCTGATTGTTTATATCGGGAGAAAACGTGACTAACCTTTTAAAATCTCTATTGTTTTACAAACCCGGCGCACGTTTTTAGAGGGATGTCGGCCCGCAAATTGACTTGCAGATAAAGACCAGAAATTTATAGATCTTTTTATAAATTTCTCATCTTCAATCCCGTTTCCCGCCGGAAATAATAAAAAATTCCCGCGTCCCGCCAGAAAAATAAGCAACTTCCCGCTTCCACGCTATCCCGCATTCCGCCTTAAAATTTCCTTTCATCCCGCATCCCGGCAGCTAAAAACGCCTCATCCCGTATCCCGCCAAACCTATGTTAGACCCTCTAGATGGGGATCTGAATTTTGGCCGCGGGGTGTCCGCAAGGCAAGAGTTACTGTAATAACATTTACCAGTAAACCTAAAACTGATGACATTAATTTTATAAAAAAAATCCTTCAAATTAATCCATCTATTATTTTCCTTGATCAAAAGAAAACTTTTCTTTCATCTAAATTGCCTTTAGAATAAATACTACTCGGGTCCACGCTAAATCCCACAACACGACGAAATCTCATAGTCCATTTGTGCTATCAGTTTTCAATGTGTTATCAGTTGTTACATCATGGTTTTTGTGTCTGGTCTTTTCGCCGTTTTAGAAGCAATTCTATGTATACTCTAGTCCTTATAATTGGTAACAACACACAAACACTCGTTATTCTAAGTTACCTGCTTGTTGAACGTCGCCTTGAGCTTCGCTCATGCCGTTGATCGCCTTTTCTGCTGAGCGACCAGGAACGTGACCTAGAATGTCGAGTTTATGAAATTTAATTTTGCCAAAAGATTGCAGATTTGAACCAGAAAGAAAACCGTAAATCAACGTTTACTCCAATTTTCCTTCTACGTGTGTGATTATCTTTTCTCTTCTTTCGCTTCCCCATGGAAAAAAACTTTCTGAAATGTTGACTTTTTTAAAAAACGATCCAGTAATCTCCAAGTATACTCAGTGCCCGTGCTCAGTCGAAAGCAATCCAACGTGCTCAAATGACCTATTCCTGGCATATTGTATGACATGATTGAACGTCATGCAGCGCGAGTAAGACAATAAAATCCTGGCAAGTTATTAACAGATTAACGACCCAATGCCTAACCAGTCAAGTTTGAGTCAACTAGTACTCTTTGATTCTGGTCTCCGGTGAACTATCAATCAATAAGTCCAAATATCAAGGAATACTGTATAAAATGGGTCATAAAATTTCAAAAATCTTTAAAAATCCATGTTTAGGCGCGCATCGTAAATTATTGTTGTTATCTAGACGCCTGATCCCTGAGCCCATGGAAAACACGCTGATCCCGATCCCGAGGGCTTTGATCCCGGATCCGAGGCTGTGATCCCTGATCCCACCCTTTTTTAGGCCTTTGATCCCTGATCCCATATACCTCGTTACGACCCTGCTTTCCTCAATGGAGAGCGAATCCTTTAACACGCCGCCGCAAGGTTCTGGAGGTAATTAATGCCGTGACGATTGATTTGCGCATAGTTAGACGAATATTTCACATACATCTGAATTAAGAGCCCAATAGCACATGACGTACTATGAAGAACCCCACCACAAAATCCACAGTCACTTTAAATCTACTTTTAAAAATCTTTTACTATATTTTTATACTCTTACAGGTATCAAATCACAAAGCTAAAAATATCAGAAACTCCTTTGTCCATCCTCACCAAGTAACATCACCTCCTACGATAAAATACAAAAAAACCCATTAAAAAACAAACAGAAAAAGAGAAAATGCTTTGAAAAAGTTATTTCAAAATTCAGACATATGGCGCTCGAAAGAAGCAATGTCTCAATATTTTCAATCGCCTAAGAGTTGCAGACGATGTTGGTTTTCTATAATGACGATGTTCTCAATGTCTTGATTGTAGTTATGTCATAGTCACTCGGCAAAAAGTGAGATGATCTGAGGGATTATAAGGAACCAGACTTTAATGAGGGTTGGAAAGATTAGTTGCCTTGTTTCTTGGGGAAAAAGGAATGAAATAAGGCAAAAAAATGGTTGAAAATCAGAACTTCTTTACTCCCCGCTAAAAGTAAACTACAGCTACGAAGTGCTCTAGTATTATCAACTGAGTTGATGACGTAAATTGGCCATCGCAGAGAGTTCCAAAGCTGACGTTTCGAGCCAACAGAGAGAATTGGCTGATTTTCATTCCCATAAAAAGGTAAATACTTACATCATTCTCATATGTTCCAAAAATAAAACCGATTTCAACTCTAGAACGTGTACGATTGCAGTTGTTTAGTAAGTGTATACCTAAACATAATGGTTACGACAAAGAGATGAGCTTATGGCACCTGAAAAACGATTCACGATACTTCAACACCTGGGTAAGAAACGCTAACTGCGACCTAGTCAAGTTTTTCCATTTTCCGGGGGCAGTTAGACAAAAGGAGAGAAGGCAAAGGTGGAGAAGGTTATGTCATCGAGGTGACTCGTTTTTGAAATGGTTCCTGATCCCATGTTTGGCAAAACCAAGAGATTAAGACAACTTGCTGACAAGCTGATTGACAAACTGAACGAATAAAAGACCAACCGACCGACTGCCAGCCTGATTGAGTCATTGACTGACTGAATGACCAAGAGACCGACCGACTCACTCACTGACTAACTTATTGTTAAGTTCTGATTGATCAATATTCCTGCATCTTGGTGATTTTTCTTTTCGCTTATGAAGGCGTGCCTTGGGAGCCAACTGACCAGCCGATTAACCATCTCGCGCACTACATGTAGCTGGATGATTTACTGACTTACTGATTTGTTTGCTAGGTGCCTGCCATTCAGGCTGATTGACTGAAAAACTAATTGATTGACTGACTGAGTGAATAGCTGACACATTGACTGTCTGACCGTTCAACTCAGACATACCTGCGTGAGTGAAGTACTGAACAACTGGCTAACCAGATGACTGCTTGCTTGACTGTCTAGCCGAAAATTTTACTTCCGAGCCAGCTGCGTGCCTGCCTCTTTGCCTGACTGATTGAACTACTGACTAGTCTCCACTGACAAGCTATATGTGATTGGTTGGTACATGAAAATGTAGATCAACTGCCTACCTGCCTGCCTAACTGATTGACTGGTCGCCACAACCTAGCTACATGTCATTGATTGATACATGAAAAAGTAGATCAACTGCCAAATTAAGGAGCATGGACATCAACCGGAAATCTCTTCCATATAAACGCACGCGCATTTAGAAAAAGACACCCACAAAATGCGTATACACGTCACGAACCTTTCCCACTCTCAAATTCGCTCGAAGATTTACATCTGTCACAGTTGCTTTTCCCGCCCAACACGGAGATTCATTTACAAGTTGCCCCGTTTGGACTGCAGCGAGACCGTCACGTTTAGTATACCCAATCTCTGCTTTGAAAGATTTTGTTTTCCTATGATAGACACGAGTTCTTGCGGCAGCACTTGTCTCTACACCAGAGGAAGAATTGCCCACATCAAATCCTAGTTTTCCAGGAATATTAAATCTGTTCGGATGCTCGAGTAAGTTTGTGCTTCTAAAGTTCTTGACCCCATATGAAGAAAGTTCAAGAGACTTTTGGCGGCTTCCTTCTTCTAAATAAGTGTCTTTAAAGACATCGCTTTTGCGCTTAGAACAGGAGCTTTTGTTATATACGAGTCTCGCTGAAGGTCTTTCGAACGCATTATCAGGACAAGTAATATTGGTTCCTGCTGACAAATAATCCTTCTCATGACACTTTACTTTTTTTTCTGAAATTTTTTCCAAAGAAAGATTTGTCGCCGTCAGGAGAGTAGAGGTGAGCCTGTCCGTGACCTGTTTACGTTTTTCTTCTATATCATCAGTGCATGCATTACTTTTAAAAACGGCACACGTCTCGTTCTGATGGTGAGTTGATTTAGGGTAACCTGTGGCAAGAGGACCTTCCATGGCATAACTGAAATTTTCTAGAGGCAACTGGTCTTCCCGATGAGATTCCTCATTAATTGTCACCTTTTCTGTTTGAGAACAATGTAGATTTCCAGTCCTCACAGATGTTGCATTCTCCGGTTTGCTCTGAAAGTGGTTGGTGAAGAAGCAGTTACAGTAGTTCCCTTCTTTAAGAGTTCAGTTCCAGAAAAATGCTGCCTTTTAACTTCCTCGTCAACGTATGGTTTGAAGCTATACTCAGTAGGCCACAAAATGTCTGCGCAGCTTCCAGCATCTAGAAATAACACAACAGAGGTATTTGAATTTATTTTGATTTATAAAGGTTTTCTTAATACCTTAATCAAACTTAAAATTAACTGCCCTACACCTTCCAGGGAGATGCCGGATGAAACAAGTCTTGCTTCATTCACTGCGCTGCCCGCTGTGTTGTGGCAGTAAACAAGTTCATAACACAAAAACGAAAAAACTCAAAATTCTGTGTATTTTGAACAAAAAAATAAAAAAGAGATAACACTTAATAGCGAGTTAACCGGGTTATTTCTAATCTGTCAATTGAAGTTAACCGGTTTTACCGAAAAATCGTGATGAGGCCGCTTTTTTGGCGTTTTATCGAACTGAAACTGGGTTAATAGTAACCATAGAAATTCACTGAAGAACACTAAATTTTATAACCGAGTTTGGTTAATGTTAAACTACCTTTCTGCGTAGTTAAACTCAGTTTAGTGGTCTCTTACCAGTGCCGTGTATTGTTCTTGTCGCAAAATGTTTCAGTCATCGCGGTGTGTGTGGGGAATGTTGTTTTACGTAGCACAAACAAGTGCATAAGCTTATGAACATGGCGTCTGGTAAACAATAGCCACAACAAGATACCTTATTTAAGCGCAACAATCAGCTTTCCACATAATTCTCTATCGGTAAACAGCCGCTCAGAAGCGAGAGTCATAAACATAAATAGTGACAGAATACGGCTGAGTGCTTGAAAGGACTCGATGATTATACGAAAGGGCTCTCCACAAAAGCCACGCATGGCAGGATTAGTGCTTTCCTCAAGCTATCGCTGATTTATCGGAAAGACCCAATATCAGGGACGATTCAATCGACAGCAATGAAGAATAATGTAATTTGTGTAAATAAGAATTAACATAAATGATTATTTTGCCGGTACGGAACGGTGAACTGGGTTCTAGTGTAGCGCGCGTGGGAGCGCGGTAAGGGGCTTTGAAATAGTGACCGGTTAGTTATGCGTGTCATTCTACGGTCGGCCTCACCGCGTCATCTTGCACTGTTTAGTTTAGTTTTCACTAACTCTGTTAGCCTTAGTTTTCATTAGTTTTGCCTTATAACCCCAAAGGCGACGCCATGGCATGGGTTGGGGTTACACGGTCCCTATTACTCCAATAGCTGTTTTTTTCGGGTTTACGTGTCCGGCCGTGGCGTGTTCTTAGAATTACTGTAAATAAGGTCGTTTAAGTTTATTTCGAAACAACTACTTGCAGCAATTAGTGCTGAATTGCGAGTTGTTGCAAGGTTGAGATCGGACGTCAGCATTTTATCAGGCGCCTCTGGCAGCCGCCTCAGTCCATGTAACGATCTCACCTTCCCACCCATCCCACCCCAGGGGAGGACATCCACCACACAGTAATCTCGTCCATGGAAAATTAACGTCTCCTACCCCTAACCCTGCAGGAGACAGGACCTACGGTTTTACGTCCTGTCCGAGAAGATGGTGGAGTTTTTATACGTGAGTTAATAAAACGTATCAAGGGTCTGGCTGACCGACGCGCCCATGCCTCCAAGTGTTGTTTTGTGTGTTCGGTTGTGTAGTGGAGACAAAATCTCAGACATCTACGCAAAATCAACATCACGGTCGGTAGAACTGCCTTGGAAATTTGCGTAGTGCGCATCGGAAGTTCACCCACTTCATAGCCCATTTCAGAGCGGCCGATCAAAAATTTATCCCCGTTGTTTCATGCATATTCTCCATACAACTCTCTAGACATTTCCTAAGGCTCTGACAAGGAGAATTTGTTCAACAATCAAGATCTTCTTTAGTTGGTGACCATTTCCATTATTCTCCTGACCTTAATGTTTGATTCAGAGATGATGTTGTAAGGAGAAATTAGATGTTTGTCACTCTTAGGGGTGGAAGGGTTAAAAGTTCTATGTGACCTTTGAACCACTTGGGCCTCATTGGCATGAGATTATATTGTATACATTAACCCTTTACACCATAACATCAGTATGCATATTCTCCATACTCTTCTTTATACATTTCCTAAGATGCTGAGAAGGAGAATTTGTTAACAATCAAGAGTGTCTTTATTTGGTGATCATTTCCTTTATTCTCATGACCTTAATGTTTGATTCAGGGCTGATGTTGTAAGGAGAAATTGAATGTTAGTCACTCTTAGGAGTTAAGGGGTTATATCAATTGTTTATTTAAGTTGTGTACCTGGATTTATAAAATATTTGCAGAGATGTTGATGGACTGGGTAAGGATTACCAAAAAAGTTTGAGATAACTTGATTACTTTTGAATCATTTTAAACTTGAATTTACCTGAGTTGTGGTGACCTATAAACTGTGACAAATCTTCAAAAAAGTTTCTAGTATGGAATGGACTCCAGGGTATGGGACCAAGAATACTGGTTACCTGCAACCAAGCATGAAAAAGAATTGGAAAAAAATTGATTGAACTTATAAAGTACAGTACCCAGAAGGTCAAGAATTGCAAGCTAATTGCAATTTTGTTTGTATTCACACTTCCCCAAAATGGAGGAAGTCTAAATAAAGTGTAGCCAGAAAGGCAGTTACTATTAGCGGCATTCTTATTAGTGTATTAGTTACCTTAGGTCATAAACCGCTTGTAGAAGTGCCAATAATAAAAAAAACAAAAAAAAAACATACCTCTTGCAACACTTTAGTCCTATTTCCTCCCAGAAATAAAGGTTTGCCTATATACAACTGAAACCAATGTTCATATTAAAAGGACATTATTTTATTTCCTCACCAATAACATTAATAGCTGGGTGAGAGAAATACAGAGAAATATCCATCGTAAAACTGCCAAGTATCATCTGTTATTAGCTCTGACTGATAGTATAATATTCATTAACGATTTTTTATTATGGTGAGAACATACACTTGGTCAATTAACCATTTACCTCAGCTACAATGCATCCCAGAGACCAAATGTCAATCTCAGGGCCAAAAGGAACACCAAACATTACCTGGAAAGAATTGACACAGAGCTTTCAGTTTCAACTGACTGCCATCAACATTATCAAGTGGGAGACACCTCATTGCATTGAATAACATTTAGTGGGACCTTCTTCCATAGACTGAACTTTAAAATTCAATTTTCCAATGACCACTTAAAATGGTTCTAATATGTACATCCCCCTTCTATTTGCAGCTGACATACAATCATGGTAAAAATGATTGTGTGAATTGAAATATTTTTTTCTGACATGTTTCTTGAAATGATACACCATAGAACAGAATTTTCCATCTGCAACAGGCCAGCTGCATTAAGTTGTTTTATAAAACACAAAATGGCAGAACTCCACTGATCATCTTTCAGAGAGTGCTCCAATTCATGCAATTCCAAATAAAATAGTTTAATCTAGTTTTATTTTCCTTGGATTGATTCGGAAAACACTGAAGTTGCATGCTTGTAACCTACATGTAAAATTTGTCTCCAAATTCATGAAAACAGCAGGAGCTCTGTAAAGTAAAGTTTGTAGTTCAAACTCATCATAATACAAGGAAACCTGACAGAATTAAACAGAAAAAATAAGAATTAAATTAAATATTTTACATAATTATTAAATTTCATTGCTAATGGTCAGGCTGACAGGCCTAGGGCTCCAAACTCATTTTTCCAAAGAGTTGCCTTCTGGCAACCTTCAAATGTAAAATGGCCACCATTTAAAAATTTTTGGCTGCCTCTTTTTTCTTTTATCTGTTTTTTTATCTGTTTGTCACCAATTGGTGACTTTTGTCAACATTTTAGCAGCCAAATATATATTCACTTATTGCCATGGTAATCAAAATGGCTGTAGCTTCTCCCCTTTAGCTGCCCCACATTTTCTTATAAATTACTTTTGAGAATCTGATACTAGATCAAGATAAGAACTTCTACCTGATAAGTTTGCGTAATCTCACTAACTGTTTGTTGGATAAGGTATGGATATTCTAGGGAGAAGTTACATGTTAAAGGGGTAAACACATAGTAAACAATTCTCTGTAAACAGTTTTTCACAGCTGGTATGAGCCCTTGTCCTCTGTACAGAATTTGCCTTTCATTATACTTTGAATAGGATCTTTTAACCCTTTAACCCCTAAGACTGATCAGCTTCTAATTTCTTCTTACAATATCACCCCTGAATCACACATTAGGATCACGAGAATCAAGGAAACGATCACCAACTTATAAAGCTCTTGATTTTTAAACAAATTCTCCTTGTCAGTGCTTCAGCAAATGTATGAGAGCAGTATAGAGAATATGCATTATATATATTGATGTTAGGGTGTAAAGGGTTAATAAAGTCTACAGTACAACAATTCTGATGCATCTAGCTGCATACAATTAATATTTAGTCACTAAAATTACCAAATAATAGAAATTACATGTACCTCTCTATGAACCCAGTGAATTGCATTTCCAAAGTCAACAACTTTTATCTTGGTTTCGTCACCTACAGTGTGTTAATATAATATACAATTTTAGTACACACCAAACAAGTAAATAGTGCTTTTTGGATGTGCTGATTGGCTAGTTCCAAAGTGAATACCAAGTTCTATTCACCTCCATGCAGCCAAAGAGACAAAATCACATGTTAAGAGTTTAATTTCTGATCAATTTTTGGTATATTGAAAGAAATAAACTAATTTTTTGGTATCTGTGTGGTATATACATGTACTAACAAATTTATTCACTTCTGTCAGTGTCAGTGAAACTGGTGGATTAATTCACCAAGCTGTAAAGCAGTAAAGTATATATCCACCACTGTTTACCTTCAGGTCTGTGACTAAAATTGTTAAGAGTACAAAAAAAAGTTGTTTTATTACAGTGTATTGACAATCAGATCTCTCAGTGGAGGTTGGCTGTCAGAAATGTAAGAAAGGCTGAGTCCATAAAAAGCTTAGTCCATAAATTCCAAGCCTACTGCTCCCATGCATCAAAATGTTTGCAACTAAGACATGGGGCCCTATACAAGGCATCCAGGCACCATCATGATAACATACACATGACTTTGTATAGCAGAAACAAAAATGGGATGGTATGTTCATGATATTTTTTGTTAGGCAAATAATTGTAGCTGATAATGTACTCTGAGTATTCATCAAAGTTAAAGTCTTTCAGTGACCACTGTATTGTATATCTTCAGAAATAAAATGTTGGTCTGTTTTTCTTACAAAATCCTATAGCTGTTATTTAATATATTTAACCAGAGCAAAATATTACAACTATACTATCTTTAAAAAGGAAGACTTTTTAAGTCCATTATTAAGTTAAATCAAATTTTTTGATGGTTTGTTTGTTGCAAACACACCACTTCACCTTCTTCAAAAAGAATGTTCTCTGGTTTCAAGTCAGCATGGATGCATGACACTCTGTCTGTGGATTCATATGGAAAGTTGAATGAGATCAAAGCACACAAAATCCTGAAATCAGTCCCTCCTCTCAAATGAGCACCCCCCTTTGAAAAAGATCCCCTTCTATTTGCCAAAATGCAGAATAAACATCCCACCTCCAACCTGGAACAACATGGTGGCATCACCAAAACATGGGCAAGAGAAGAGTCCCTTGACAATGAAATAAAATGAAGCCACTTGTGGGTACAGATGAGTAATTCTAGAGAGTCTAAAAAGAACACCTATGGATAATCTTACTTCCTTAGGAATCCAAGAGCTTGTAATAGCTAAAAGAAAATAACCACATCAATTTATTAAAAAAAACTATTATTTTGATTTCAATAAATTTGAAGCACAACAAGTTTCATCTTCATGAAAGGTAACTTTAAAATGGTCTTTGTAAGTTCTTATAGCTGACAAAAAAAACTGATGCAATTTTATTTGAAATAACTTGAATGAAAAGTATTTATAAGAATTAAAAAAAAGGTTTGCTCACTTGAAAAGTTATTTTCCTGATGACTTTCAGTTTTTCATCCTGTTAGTAAACAAAATCAAGAAAACACTGTTGAGTGACTGATATTACAGAATGTATGTGGTTAGATGATGATCTTGCCAAAACTCTGTACATTAAGACATGTTTTTAACAAAGGTGACAATAAATTTAACAATGAAAACATACAATGCACAGATGGCAATACATTAATCACTCTTACCTTGTTATCAAACTGACATTTCTGTAAAGAAGATGATTGAAATATAATACTTACATCAGTAGAGATACAACTACAAAGTACAACAATTGATTTAAAGGGAAAGCTCTTGGATTCCTTAACAGCATGTTTATAATTCAATAAAGCCAGTAAATTTCTAAAGCAAACCGTGGCACTGTATTAGTGGGAGAGTATGACAAGGTAATTTGGTATTATTAACTGAATTGATAACGTAAATTAGCCACCATTAAGAGTTTCAAAGCTGATGTTTCGAATGTTAGCCCTTCACCATTCCCTCTGACAAAGGGCTAATGCTTGAAACATCAGCTTTGAAACTCTTAACATTTATCAACTCAGTTGATAATACTAAATTACACTGTTTATAATTTAACCAACCTGAAAGTATTGATGGAGTGGCCGAGGTCTCAACAGCTCAAAAACCAAGCAGTAATGGCCCTCAAAACTGAAAACATTCTAAAAATCCACAAGCAAATATGTCAAATTGGCAAAAATACAAGGTCAGTGAACTGTGGTCCTCTAAATAGAATACATTCTTGTACTCATGTACCAAATATATCAGTGCTATGTTACAATTATTGTAAAACAAAGAACCAATTGGAGATCATTATATTAAAACTTCGGTATTATACAAGAAAAGCTGTAACTGCATACAAGTAAATTACAATTATTTTTTATGCATGTTTGATACTGCCAACTAAGTGTTGACATGCAAAAAACCTAGTTTGCACCACTCTGTCAAGTTGATGGATGAAAGGCAAAGCATTCACCATTCTCAATCCAAGGTCATTGGTCGAATTGCCTTGTCAGTTAAGGCCAGTGGTGTTTAATACTGTTGAGTTTACATCATTTTTGTCCTTCAGTAGGGTCAGTTTCTTCTCTTTTCATGATTTTTCATATGGTATCAAAAAGGTGGAGTGATACTTACAGTGACTGTATAAAATCAGTCCTATTTAACAACAAGCAGATATTTTGTTTCATGTGATTCAGTACTCAAAAAGGATTGTACATTCATGACTTACAAACAACTGGACAGTTCTGGAAACATGGAGAGGATCAGCCTTGTTGAGC